CAGACCCTCGGCGCTGAACAAAAGGCGAGGGCGGGGAAGGCCCGCGCGCGCCTCCCTCCGTTCCGCCGGTTGGCAAGTAGCCCTTCGCCCAAGGCGCTCCGAGGCCGGGCTGGACGGCTCCGGCAGCTCCCCCCGGGCTGTTTCGTGAACCCGCAGGAAGGCGCTTTCCCGGACGTAGCGTGGACGCCGCGGTGGTGGTGTGAACCCAGCCGGGCGGCGTCGGTCTGGCCTCTGAAGAAGACCGAAGAGCAGCAGCGCCTGCAGGCCGGCGGAGACGGAAGGCTCTCCCCCAACCCCCAGCAGTTTGGGGCAGTTTGTCGCTCACTGCTGCATTTTTATTTATTTGGAAAAAATTCTGTGCTGCCCCAGTCCTGCCCTTCTTACGATACCTAGTAACAAGGCCGTAAAACACAGGACTACAATCCAAAGAAAACTTAGTCACAGCAACTCCCAAAAGGTTCAGATCCTGATGCTGGCGAAGGAGGGTCGCTTCCCTATCAACACGGGGAGGGGTAGGCGGCAGCAGCAGGCAAGACACAGTCCCGGTCCGTTTTATTTCCACATGACCGATCGGTAGTTGAGACAATGCACTTTCTGCATTACCTGAATTTCATGCTGCCTCGCTGGTTTTGGGATTGTATGTTGTTCCCAGAACTGCAGGCACCGTTTTCACCTTTAATCAAAAATGCCAGAGAACAAGTGCGTGATTTCTAGTCCAGCTGTAGAATAAAGTCCATCCCGGCCTTGGGGTTACTGCTGGTTTTTCTGTGGGGGAGGCTGGTATCCAGGTATGTAGCATGGTTCCATTTATGACTCAACCCCCCCAACAGGATTAGGAGTAGATGAAACAATGCTTAATCTGGATGAGGGAGAGGAGCTCCTGGTCAGTCAAGAGGGAGGAAGGGTCTGTGCAGACAGGGTCAGCTTCACTGTGGTAAGAAAGGGGAGCCCCCCAAGAATCTGGTGACCTTGCTTAACCCTGTCCTGCATGCAGACGCACTTGAGAACTCCCCTTCTCCTTAAAAATCAAATCTAGCACTTGGAAAAATGGCTAAAAACAGGGGAGAATGCACCTGCACCCCACTGCACAGCAGACAATACAAGGTAGCACAATTGTCATGGCCAGGATGGCATATTTACAGACTCTGCCACAAAGCCTATCTAGAAAACGCGAAAAAAATATTTTTAAAACTTTGAATTAGAACTCTTACAAAAGGTTGCCTTTGCTGCTCGCTTTTCACTTTGGTCAGAGGCACTACTGAATTTCTGATTTTAAAAGGAAACATCCCCTTCCTTCCCATTATTTAGCCATTATTTAAGACACCTACTTTCCAGGCAGGGCGTCGTCCTTTCTAGAACTGTTTGTTCGCCGGCTGAAAACGCCGAAGAGACGGCCAGGCGTTCCAGCCGCTGACTGTGCCTTGGGCCCGGGGCTAGAGGCCCCAGCCCCGCTTCTTCAAACACGCGAAGCTGTAGGTTGCGACCAGCGCCCCCTTGTGGACGCCTGTGCCAAAGCAGCCTGCTTGTGTCCAGGCGTGGCTCCGGAGACTCCGCCCGGGGAGGGGGGGGGGGGGGGGGG